TCAATCGTAGATAAGATGAGAGAAAATAGACTTCAATAATTTGGTTATGTATGAGGAGAGAGAAATTGGAAGCGATAAGAACGGTTGTAGAAATGAATGTTAAAGGAAGAAGAGGTACAGGAAGACCAAAAAAGAGATGGCGGGATATAAATGAATGCGTTATAAGGACAGCTGATGTGAGTGTAGATGTTGTGGTTGATCGTGTAAGTGAAAGTTTAAGACAAGGGTGGCCGACCATAAGTAGTTTGGATTAAGGCGAGGAAAAAGAAAAAAAAAGAATGTGTCTAAAAACTTTATACTTTACCTTAATTAGGTCTACGCTAGGGTTTGTATTCATCATTTGGTCTCCCTTTGAAATATGAGAAATAAAAAAATTAGAATCTATACCAATTGAATTTTTAATTATGTCATTTTATAAGTTAAATATACATAGTTTAAAGAAAACTTTATAATCATTAGATTAAATTTATTTTATCATGTTATTTGTGTTTTCTGTTAACATACCATAAAATATATAACAAATTTACATACACACACACAAACAGTCTTTAAATAAAAACTAGGCACATTAAAAAAAAATCTCACAACTCAAACTAAAACCAACGAATCTCAATATAATGTTTAGGTTACCCCTGAGAATCTATTGGCAAGCCTAGTAAAATTTTCAGGGTTCAAATAAAAAACGCTGGTGGCAATAAGTGTTTGTCTTAATAGATGTCAAAATTTTTAATTGTTTACGGAGGGCCAAATTTTTTTTTTTTAATCTTCATGAAGCATTTTCCCAAAGTTCTTTTATTAAATATAATAAAACTGAAAATTGGAGCTCGTTAAGTAATTTTTCTAGCAGTGAAAAAATGTTCAATGTTTTATTAAGTAATAACAAATAAAAAAATAGGGGTTCTTATTTAATATAAGTCAAGATTTTTTAACACTAATGGAAAAGAAAAAAATTATTTAATTACGTATTATTGTAAAGTTTTGAACCAAAAAACTTTTTGTTTATAAAAAATGTTCGTTAGTTACTAAAAAAATTAGTACTTTACTCAAAATCGATCACTCTGTATATTTACTGTTTTTATATAATTAATAAATCATTTAATAGAAAATAAAGATTTCTTTAAAATTGAGCTATAATCCATCATTTCAAATTTATTTGTTAGGTTTCTACAAGGTTAAATCAGTATTTAGTGAGTGTATGAAGAGTTGATGTTCAGAAAAATCACTCTGAATTAAAACTGAAAACGTAGACTTTTAGGTATGCAAAATATATAATTTTTTTTCTGATAAACCGTTCGCTTTTTAAAATTATTAAAAGACATGTATTAAAAAAAAAATTCATCACTCATTTGGTTTTCGTATTACCAGAATCATTAATAATCTGTTTCCATGTGCCATAAATTATTTTTATAGTAGTTATCAAAACATTTTTTCACACTGCTCTTTCAACAATGTATGATAGTAAACTTGTATGGAATATAATAATATGTGCCATTAATAGTCACCAATGACCTCTGTATACAAAATAGTGGATATAATAATAATAGAAAATTTGTCTAAAAACATATCATTTTAACATGTCGTAACAAACGAACAGTTGATAGTATAAACAAATTTTAAGGACAAAATTATTTGTAAATTTTTTTCTATTTTATTATCTAGGTAAAAATAGGGGTTCTCATCTGATAAAATTAACGGTAAATTGTTTACCCTGTAATGTAAATTATTTAACTACATATTATTGTAAAATTTTTAGAATCAAACAATATTTTTCTTTAAAAAAATTTGAAATGTTCAACTATTTTCTAGAATATGTGTGTTTTATCCTTAATGAATCAGCCTGTATATACAGAGTATTTGAGACCTAACTGATAACGCTTCTATCTTTTGATAAATTTATTATTTTGTTAAATTTTTTTTTAATAATTATTACCACTTAGAATATGTTAAAAGTACATTTTTTTTATTAATTTTTACTAACAAGAAAAATAATGCATTTATTATTTTTTTTTGAAATTTCATAATAGCTACTTTCAGCTTACAAAAAAAATTAATGATTTGATAATAGTTTTAAGACAGTACTCATTGAATTATAAGCATTTTAATATATAAGTGGAAAAATATCGTGCTGATTTATATATATAATATTTACTTGTCCAGCACTACATACTTACGCAGAGTAGTAAAACGCTTATAGCTCAATGATTAATTATCCTAAAACTGTTATATATCCATTAAAATTATCAATAAAATTCTAAGAAAAGTGATAAAAATGGGTATTTTTAATATTAATTTTTTTTTCCTATTTAGTAATAATTAGAAAAATTGCTTAAACGTTTTAATATAATAATTCAATTATTATTTTTAAAAATATTCCAATAAAATGATAATAGTATCAGTGATCAATTAGGTCTAAAATACATTCTATGTATAATTGAATTGTACATTTAGTAACTCAACTGAATTCCAAATACGAACTAAAAAATTGATGTGTGTATTTGTAATTGAAAATTATTATAAATTTCAAAAAAAAAAAACCCAGCACAGGGGGGTCGCGGCACAGTGGTGACGTGGCATAGATGGATCAAGTCTAATGATATCTGACAGTGATTAAAATCACTATCAAAAAAAAACGCTTCGATGCAAATCTTTAGATAGTGTTTAATTTTAAAAAATTGGTGGATTATTCCAAAAGCTACATGATCTGCTAGTTCATTATTAATATCCTAATTAAGATAAAGTATGTCGAATGAAAAAGGGATTATTAAAAAATATTATTTCTTATAAAAAAATAATGTTGATCCATACACTTTTAAATATGTCATAGCATTATAAAGTTAAAAATGTAAAAAATAAAATCGAGAATTTTCACACAAAAATAGCATTCGGTAGCCATTTTCACCGTGAAGATAAAATAAAGTCCGAAATTTTTTTTTCGCATAATAAAGTATATTACATTAGCTTTAATTTAAGATATATATAAAAGTGTCAGACTTTCCGGAACACTTTCAAAATTTAAGTTGAAAAAGTCAATTTTTTGTGAAAAAGTTGTCATTTTGAATCCCCCCCTGTAGGCAGGTAAAAAGTCAGATTTATAAAAAAAATATACCAAATGATAGGTAAAGACATCATGCATCTACAAAAAAAAGAATTATATTGATCCATACATCTTTCGAGAAGTTATAGCATTATAAAGTTAAAAATATAAAAAAGAATTTTTTTACAAAAATCGTATTTTTTTTATTAAGTTTAATGTCTGTTTTCACCATGAAGATAAAATAAAGTCCGAAATTTTTTTTTACCATTATAAAGTATATTACATTAGCTTTAATTTAAGATATATATAAAAGTGTCAGACCTTCCGGAACACTTTCAAAAGTTACGTTGAAAAAGTTCTACTTTCTATATGCATTTTTATGTTTTGAATCCCCCCTGTATTTAGGGAAATGGTCCGATTTAAAAAAACAGTATGTCGAATGAAAGATCTATATAAATACTACTTCTCATAAAAAAATTGTAATGATTCATACATTTTTCAAAAAGTTATAGCATAATAAAGTTAAAAATGGAAAATACAAAATCGAAAATTTTCACACAAAAATAGCATTCGGTAGCCATTTTCACCATGAAGATAAGATAAAGTCCGAAATTTTTTTTTACCATAATAAAGTATATTACATTAGCTTTAATTTAAGATATATATAAAAGTGTCAGACCTTCGGGAACATTTTCAAAATTTAAGTTGAAAAAATTAATTTGTTGTGAAAAAGTTGTCATTTTAAATCCCCCCTTGTGGGCAGGTTAAGGGTTATATTTATGAAAAAAATATACCAAATGAAAGGTAATGATATTATGAATCTATAAAAAAAAAATTGTATTGATAAATTATATCTTTCAAAAGTTATAGCATTATAAAGTTAAAAATATAAAAAAGAATTTTTTTACAAAAATCGTATTTTTTTTATAAACATTATGTCTGTTTTCACCATGAAGATAAAATAAAGTCCGAAATTTTTTTTTACCATAATAAAGTATATTACATTAGCTTTAATTTAAGATATATATAAAAGTGTCAGACCTTCCGGAACACTTTCAAAATTTAAGTTGAAAAAGTTCTACTTTCTACATGCATTTTTTAGATTTGAACCCCCCTCGTATATAGGGAAATGGTCCGATTTAAAAAAACAGTATGTCAAATGAAAGATGTATATAAATACTACTCCTCATAAAAAAATTGTACTGATCCATACATTTTTCAAAAAGTTATAGCATAATAAAGTTAAAAATGTAAAATACAAAATCGAAAATTTTCACACAAAAATAGCATTCGGTAGCCATTTTCACCGTGAACATAAAATAAAATCCGAAATTTTTTTTTACCATAATAAAGTATATTACATTAGCTTCAATTTAATATATATATTAAAGTGTCAGACCTTCCGGAACATTTTCAAAAGTTAAGTTGAAAAAGTTAATTTGTTGTGAAAAAGTTGTCATTTTAAATCCCCCCCTGTGGGCAGGTTAAGGGTTAAATTTATGAAAAAAATATACCAAATGAAAGGTAATGATATTATGCATCTATATAAAAAAGAATTATATTGATATGTTTATTTTTGAAAAAGTTATGGCACTTTTAAGTAAAAAAAATTGAAAAAATTTCGAAAATTAGCGATTTTTAAATTTGTAATTTTTTTGGAGGTTTCCCCCATTTACGGGGAACGAGGGAATTTTTTTCAATTTTTAAGGGTAATGTCTTCGACTAGATACGATTTGTGATCTTTTGACGTATCATTGAAAGAAATCGGTTCGGTGAGAGCTGAGAAAAAGTGGTAACAGAACCAAAAAAAAAAAAAAAACACATCTTAGTAAAACCAATACCTTCTCAGCTTCGCATCGAAGCTAAAAAAGTCCTATTGTATTTTAACAATCAAATCATTAGCTATCTAATTCTATATATTTTGTGTCATTAAAAATTCGAAAGTAATTACTTATATTTTATATAGATTCAAAAAGTGAGGTAAGCGATGAAAATGAATTTAGTAAACCAATTAAGAAAAGCAAATATGCTGTAATAATGTTCATTCACGGTGAGTCTTTTGAATGGAATTCCGGAAATCCATATGATGGATCTATACTATCTAGTTTTGGAAAAATTATTTTTATCACAATTAATTATAGAGTAGGCGTATTAGGTGAGTTTAATTTTTAATCTTTAATAGTTTTTTTAGATAAATCTATTATTAAATACGCTAAAAATCGATCACTTATTTTAATCTTAATGATTATATATGTTTATTTAGGTTTTTTAAAATCAAATAGTGGTGACAACCCCGCTAGCAATTTTGGTCTTTTAGATCAGGTAGCCGCATTAGAGTGGATTAAGAATAACATACAAGCATTTGGCGGTAATCCAAATGCAGTCACTGTTATGGGTCATGGTAATGGCGCAGCATGTACAAATTTCCTTATGATGTCGCCACCAGTCAATAATAATGGTACATTTCTTATATTTTTATAGAAATAAATAAATAATTTTCAAGACAAATAAAAACCGTTATTTTTAAATCAATTTTAAAAAATTAGATTTTTGATGAAATATTTGAGTGTTGTATAACATTGACAACGATGATATCTTTAATACAGTTTTTATCAAAAAAAATTGTAATTTAACTTCAATTATTTTTAGATTTATTTCAAAGAGCGATACTTATGAGTGGATCTGCGTTATCTGATTGGGCGTTGGTAAAAAATCCTATCGTCAACACTATTCAAGTTGGCCAATCTTTAAACTGCGAAGCTGGTGAAGATGAAATTTTCTTCGATTGTTTAAGAAAAAAACGTTTTACAGATTTAATTTCAGCAAAAGTGTATGCGCCTTCTTTTTCAACTAAATTTGGACCAATGGTAGATGGTGTAATGGTCACAAATGAACCTTTATTACTCTTAAAAGAGCATAAAAGTCTAATGCGTAGGTGTGTAAAATAATTTTTATTTGGACATAAAATTTTTCACTATACATTATTTATTGTGAAATCATCAGATACAACGTCTTAATGGGTGTAACAGAATATGAAAGCTACCACCTATTGGACAGTATATCTTTGATACATGGCATGCTAGAAAATGAACAACAAAGCATGCTTTTAGATTACATGAAAGCAAAGTTCGAGGTAATAATTAAAATGTGATTTAATAAAAAACTGCTCATACTTTTCTCATATATTTTATTTTTTAAAGCTTTTCCCCGACCTTACATTAAGGGCTACACTTGCTCAGTATACTGATCGTGACCGGTCATGGTCAACATCAGGAGCCTTTGAAAATAGAGACATTTTGCTAGATATTCTCAGTGATGCTATGGTTGTAGCACCTTTAACTTATTTAGCTGACATACAGTCTGAAGTTAACGAACACACTTATTTTTATGTGTTTACTCACAGAAGTTCATTCAATGAATATGATACGGTAATACTACTATTATTGTTAAGCTACTATATTAACGTTTAATAATTAATTAATTGAGCAGGTAAAAAAAAGTATAAATGGAGAAGATTTACCATATGTTTTGGGTGTTCCTCTAGGTGGAAATACAATAAATTTAAAAACTCAGTTTGACCAAAAAGAAAAACGCCTATCTGAGATGATGATGACATATTGGAGTAATTTTGCTAAAACTGGGTAAGATTATTTTTATTATTATATATTTCATTTGCAGACTAACGTATTTAAACTTACACAGCGACCCAAGTTTTTCCAAAAAATCAACACAAAATGAATGGAAGATAAATAATATAAGATGGCCAAAGTATAATACCTTAAACCATGCATATTTTGAATTAAGTGAGTATTTTAGAAATGAGTTTTTTTTTTTTGAAAATAATAGTTTATCTTAGATTTAACAGCACGAGCAAGAGTAAACTACAGAACAATCAAGAGTAAGTTTTGGAATTTAGATCTTCCTCAGAAAATTGAAGATAAAAAACAAAAAGAAGCTGAACAGTCTAAGCCACCATTACCTGAAATATTTCAGCCTCCATGGAGTAACCATGAAACACCTATGTTTATATTTCCCACTATGATACCTGAATATACATATCAATCGAGTGAGTATCCTCAAGAACCTAACACAGGAGAAGAATTGTCTTCCGAACCATCAGATAAAAATACGCCAGTCATCGAAGAAGCATCTTCTCCCGTAGTCATACCTTTAATCATTATAATTGGTATATGTTTTTTATTAGTAAATATTTGTGCTTTTGGTGGAATATATTATCAGAGAGATAAGTTAAGAGTAAGAGAACGGCTGTTTAATAATCGGTTTCGATGTAATGAAGCGAATACAAGTAGATCATATGATGATGATTTAGACGATATGTATGTAAAAGCAGAAGTTCCTCAACTTGAAAATATTCAAAAATTTGGTAAAAGTGACGTTTATGATTCTGTAGCATTAGCAAGTGTTAAACCAGAAGCTATGGGGGGTAAAAGACTAGGTAAATGGGCAGAAATATCTAAACATAGAAGTAGTAGTACAGTTACAATGGACCCGCATACCAGGGTAAAAGAATGGATAAATACAGAAATAATTCAAAGATATTCACCAAAAATTTTAAGAAGACAAAAAAGAGAAGAAAAAAAAAGACAGCTAGTATGTGCTGAAGATCCAGTTGAAACGATTGTAAAAATACCACTTGAAAACACCAATTTTAATCAACCTAGAAATAAAGTAAGATTAAATTATCTTTTATAATTTATTGTAACTAATAATGTAGGAGACGAATATTCCAATAAAATATAGACAACTCATACGAAAATTTGCGAGATTCAGAACTAAATTTCGTTGAATAATTGTGCTGAAATTTTTATAGATATATTAATCCCCAAACACGTTAATAAGATTCACAATTATATATTACGCGTTAATCATTTCGGATAGTCACTGCATCTTTCAAAGAAATTAGCAAATGTCGTAACATAAAAGTATAATGTATTATGATTAAACAGAGTGATCAATTATCATTAACCATCGATTACTTGAAATTCGAAGATTTGTATTTTTCTTATTACAACTATGATAGAATTTATCTTTGCAATATTTGAGACTAATTTGATACTTACTCGTCATCAAAGTTTTAGAGCTACAATAGAAATTATTTTATACATACTATAAGTCTTAAATAAAATCTTAGATATTTTAAATTACGCTAATTTATGTTTAACATATTAATATTCATTTTTAGTTCATTCATTATATGTAGGATTATATTTAGGGGATATTTTGGAGGTGCAATAGCCCTTCAAAAACTGTTAGGGGTGAATCTCAATATTTAAAGTCATAAATATTGGAGCAAAACCTACAATTACTGTCAACAATAATGTCGATCAAAATAGTTTTTTATGATTATTATTATAATTATGATTTTTATCATATTTTATGTTCTTCGTATGTATTTTAAGATTATCATCATAAGTTTGATGAAAGTTTTGGTGATGGAAAATAAAGTTGACCCTTTTTTGTTCATCAATATTATTGATAGAGCAATGCTAATGCACTTCTATAGCTTCTTAAATTAATGCATTTATAAGACTTCTTATTTTTTGTGCACTCTTATGGCTTCTTTATGTATCTATGGCTTCTTTTTGTATTTTTAAGGATTCTTATATTTTTAGTTTTCTAATATCTTCTTAAGTTTTAAATACAGTTAAAATATAAAAGATTTTTAAAGTCTTATCACAAAATAAATTACTTCATGCATAAAATCATTCTTATGAAAAGTTTTTTTGTGTAAAATAGTTCTTATTAAAACCTTTTTATAATGATACGAATTTTATAATTTTGAGAATATAAGCCATAATTAAATGAAATTTTATGATTGAAAATAACAATTTTCAAGATGTTTCCAAAAACCATTAATGAACGTTCCTGCATTTTCGTGAAATAAATATATTTATTAAAATTTAATACTGCTATATACTGCAATAGCTATTTCAAAATGTTATAAACAATTTAAAATGTAATTAACGAAATATTATTTTTCTTCTAAGGTTTCAGTAGCTATTGACGCTACACCAGCTGCCCGGACAATTAGTGTTTTAAAACAAACACCAATAGAGTTGACAAAATCTATGGATATGATGAATTCTTCGGAAAAAATCGATATAAAGCCATCACTATCTTTAAGTTCAATCGATAGAAACCCGTTAACTAGAGGTAAAGCTATGAATGAATCCGATATTTTATTATCATCTACAGATACGCTACATAAAAGTTCCACTAGTATTCAGTTAAAACCAGCAGCTAAGGAAAAGAAGCCTGGAATTGTTGTTGTGCATAGTTACTCAAAATCTGAATCATCACGAGAGTCTAATAAAGAACCTGTTTATACTCAGGTAAAATTTATATATTTTATGTTTTTTTATTATGGCTGTTGTTTCGAAATACAATTATTTTAAAAGAAAAATTATCAAATTTTAGAACTGCACAAGTATTTAATTAAAATATATATTTGTGAAAATTTTAAAAATATTTGTTTAGATAAATTAACTGAACACATTTTTCTAATTACAACGTTATCACATGACTTCAAACTATAAATTTATTAAATATTGTATAGGTATGCAAACCAAAAGAAAAGTTATCAGTTTCTAAGAATCCTAGTTTTGAATCGAGTACTCATTATGAAGACATAAATGTAACTTCAAAAGAATTTGCTGTAAATGAAGGCTCTTCTTTAAGTGTAGATAGTTCTAGACGTCTTAAATATCCTAAAGTATTGCCAGACTTCCCAAATGAACGAAATTCTACGACAGCAGACCGTCGCTTATCATTACCACCACCTGCATTTGCTTCTATACCAGAAGGTAGCTCAGTGAAAATACCACCACCTCCACCCCCAAGAATATCATCAACATTAGGAAGAAAAAAAGATTTGAAGTCAGAAGTAACTATATTGTTTAATAAAACTCGTCAAGAAGTTATACCAGAAGAACACAAATCTTTAATAGTACCTAGTGTACCAAACGTGATATGTCCTCTAACAGCAAAAAGCGGAACCTCGAGATCTGTTAATAGAAAATTAGAGCCTAGAATAGTAATCAAGGCTGGTTCAACACAAAATCAACCTAAAAGGGTAAATATACCACGAGTTATTCATCCTCAAAACAGCGATAAAAATAAATGTACCGGAGAAAATGGAAATACGGGAACCATCAAAAGGAAAAAGAAATAAAAGTAAAGAATTCATTTTATAGTTACTATTTTTTAACTTTTTTATAATTATATTTTAAATTAAGAACATACATTTAGCTAGTCATGTTATTTAATAATTAAATGTGTATTTTTTTTTATATAGAACTTGATACAATCGATAAGTCATTTATTGTTTCCTTTTTTTATTAGTACTACCTCGATCAGTTGTAATGATGTTATTAATTAGAAGTTAAATATATTTTTATATTTTATTTTTATAAAAAAGTAATTTCTTTAATGCTGTTTCAAATTTTTTATACTTAAATTCACGACACTCTAAAAATATTTACTTAAAGTACTTCAAAAACGTTAGCTTGGTGCGTAATTCATTAACGGCTATTTTTATAATTACATTTTTAACATACATTTCTTTTACTGTTATTCAATGTAAAACTGCAAATTTTTATTTTTAAAATGATGTAAAGCATTTTTTTAGTTTTATAATGAATAATAGTATTTTGTTGATTTTACGCCTTTTACATGAAACATCAATTATACAAAATAAGACTGTACAAAATTTGTTATTACTGTATTAAAAAAATTGTTTTCGTAGTTTAGGAAAACAATTTTTTTCAACAACCGTTTTTGAGTTTTTACACTAAGTCAGTGAAATGTTACAAATGATAGTATATGATTCATTTTATAACCTCACAAAATAGCCATTAAGTTATATAGGTAACAAAAGTGTACAACTTGGCTTTTTAGGTGTACTTACGCTAGAATTGCAATCTATAAAGTGCACAAAAGTAAAGATTGTAACCACAAATTATTTCTTCATATTGAACTTTGAAATTATTATAGTTGCTAATTAAAATTTATTATTTTATCTAAAAAGTTATACTGAAGTACAAATTAATCATTATAAAATAAATAAAATTTTAATTTATATTTAGAAATAATATCTATATACAATTTAAGTACTTTATTACTAATTTATTTATTCAATTTATTTAATTATACTTCGGTCAGTTTTTTATTCATTATTTTATTTTAAAACTCGTTTATTTTACACATTTAAAATATTAAAAATTTACATTATATTTTTATCATTTGTTATTTTATTAATTAATATCATTTAGTTAAATAATTAGAAATACATGAATATAATAAAATTTTGAAGCTGTAAATATCTCACTATTTAACATGTAAATTTTTTTTAAATCTTTACTCTTAATTACCATTAAAAAATTAACTTTTAGTACATGTTAAACATAATTTTAAATAAAACATTTAAACAGCACAATTAAAAAGATTTTAAGAAGTTATTGAATAAATTTTACAAAATTCATCCGTAATAATAAAGCGCAACACCATTTATATTTTTAATGAATAAGTAATCAATAGTATTAAAATTAATTCATATAGTAGATCTAATATATTTTGAGTCTAGATTTTAGTATTTTATAGGATCTAAAAAAATACAATCAGTTATAAAGAAAAATAATGCCTACTTGAGTAATATAAAAAAATTGTTTTAATAAATTTTAGAAAATGCTTGTAAAATAAAAAAAATATTACCATTCCCTTATATAAACATAAAATACTTTCTGTACATTATATAACAATTTTTAAAGTTTATTCATAGAATTATTTCTTGTTTTCTCATGATTGGTTGAACTTCATTTGGAAACTGTACCATATAGTGTTCATTGTCTAATAATTTGTACTTGTCTTCTCTAAAATGAGAAAAATCGCACATAAACCTATCAAATCCATCAAAGAAAATTTGAAGAATCACTGGAGGTATCGGTTCTAAATCTGCAAAAATTGCCAAGGACTGAAAGTACTCCATTGACCTGTGATACATCATATGGAGTTCTTTTTGTCGCAATCCACTTGCCATCCTCGACTCAACATCACGGTGAGTATCTTTTAACATTTCTTTTTTTTTGGGTAATTGTTTAGTTCCAGATAAGATTTTTTTAGCAAATCGTACCTATTTTGTAAATATATATATAATAAAGTATTATACATTAATTTTTAATAGTCATAGTAAAATTGAATAACATTGTTTATTTAAAATTTGAAAAATATAATTAAATATATCTATCAAAGTTAAAAATTATTAAAAAATTTTATACCTGTAAGTCATACATGCAAAAACCAGTGGTATATGTAGGTATTCCAATGAAGAACATAGTGGGATGCTCAATGTTAACTATGTGTTTAAAAAGTATCTTGACATTGTTATTTTCCACTCTGATGCCACACTCGGGACTTAAAAATGGATATTTGTAAGTATATCCTGTTTATTTAAACTAATATTAGATTGAGTGCATAACATGCATTACAATTCATAAAAAGAGATTTCTGGCTGTATATATATTGTTAAATAATATTAATTGCATACAACTAATTAATATAGACCTTTTATAAGGTCATTCAAATCAATGTTATGTAAAATAATTACATGAAAAATGCGATGGTATTCTAATATTGTGCCAAAATAGGCCACATATTTTTCAAGCCTTATTAGGCCAGATTTCTTATTGTTCTAAAACAAAATACAATTCACATTAAGTAACCAAAATGAAAAGATATTATATTATGTTATTAGATGAAAGTATTTGAAGAAGTAAGAAATTACCTGTACAATATAATATTGAATCCACTGTTTCAAATGAATCATCTTCAAATAAAACTCCATTATTTAAAATTTTTTTTACATCAACTTTTTGATTCATATTAGGAGGACATTTCATATTTTTAATTTTTTTGTTGTGATGACTCAAGTAAACCTAAACAGTACTTTTTTGTAAAAAAAAACTATAAAATTATAAAACTCTGTCAGTGAATATACTACTTTAGATGCTGTTTTTGCAATGTCAAATGAAATATCTAGCCCTGATGGTCCACATCCAATAACTAATGTTTTTTTATCCTTAAAAATCAAAGAATCTCTATAATCATGACTATGAATTTTCAAACCTTGGAAATTTTCTATACCAGGTATGTTAGGTATTACTGGATTGCTATAATTTCTATAAAATATTAAATTTATTAGTCAGCAATAAAAATGTACTAATTGTTTATATTTTAGAATTATATAATTACCCAACACAAACAATTACTCCATCAAATAACATAGTTGCCTTTAGTTTTGTTTTTAAGTCAATAATAGTAACTTGCCAACGGTCGCCTTCTAATGGAGACACTTCTTTGATATGATGATGGAACTATTACAATAATCATAAAATTGTTATATCTGGTAATAGTATGAATCTTTACCTGAAAAATATAAATTATTTAACTCACCTTAATGAACTTGATTAAACCAAAATGTTCAGCATAATCTTCTAAATATTTAAGCATATCATTAGCAGTGACATAAGACTTGTCTTCTGGACCTTTATGGGGAAATCCTGGTAATTCCATAATTTCTTTTGGTAAATTTGTTCTGAACAAAAAAATTATAATTTTAGTAGGAAAAAAAAAAAGAAATCTAATACTACCTCAAACTTTTATACATGCTTGAATGAACAGGAAGACCATATTTATCAGTTCCAATTTGGTCTGTATAAACCCAAGTGCCACCCACATTATCAGCCTGCTCAAATGCAACACAATTAAACAAAGGGTCTTCAGAAAAATGTTTTAAAGCTGGTAATCCGGAAGCTCCACAACCGATAATAGCTACAGACTTTTTATATTCTTGTTCTATAAAAAAATTAGAAATAATTTGTTTACAATGATGCTTTTATGATAAAGTTAAAATGTTTTCAAAATGCATATTTGTTATTTAGATATTGATTTTTCTTCTTAAAAAATATGGATTGTTAAGAACAAGGAATAACATAAAAAAAATAATTTTTTTTTTAATTATAATATAAAAGTTTTATTCAGATTGTTCAAGAAATATTTTTGTTTTTAAAGAGTACATATATTTTTCTATTATTATTATTAAAAATATATTTTATTACTATATTAGATAGAAATACTTTTTTTTAAAAACATTTATTTTCTTTTAAATTGTTATTGAATTTTTTAAAAATAATTTTAAACTCTTTTTTTGTTTTGTTGCGATTATTTCTACATAAATTATGCAACAAAAATGAAAATGTTCAAAATAACAAAATTTAACTTACCTAATTTCATTTTTCTATACCTTAAGAAAAAAATTTAATTATATTTTAATGAACAATTATAAACCAATTGCCGTTTAAAGTTTTAAAGCGTTTGAATCTTTTATATAAAAAATCAGTATCCCACCTAAAGTAGTCAATAATATAACAGTTTCAATCAAATTAACTATTAGAAACAAATAATTTGTATCTTATTACAATATTATAAGCTATCACGTGATTAATTATTTTATTTATATGAAATTGTGTGATTGTAGTAATCACTCAATTTATTATTACTCATATTAAAACTCATTTTTATTACAAAAAATTTATTCTTAGCAATTACTCAAGTTTCATATAACATTTATTGCGATATAATTTCGTCATTTTTCATTAAATTTATCTAGTAAAGTTAGACTTAAAATAAATAATTCTTTTATACTCGCTGTGAATATCATCAATATTATCCAACCGAAAATAAATAATTAACATTTTCCACTGAATTGAATGAAACACATTCTCAAGATTATTTTTTCAATTTTATTCTTTGTTTATCAATATTTATCAACATTAATTTATTGACTTCCGTATTTTTAAATTGAAGTAAACTATATCTCTTCCAAGAAAAATAGCTTTATTCCAATAAAAAGAACATATTCTGAAATAATTTCTTTTTAGAATGAATTCTTCTCAACATTAATATTGGCGAATTTTAAACTTAATTAGATATATTTATATTTAATGATATTGTGGATATGTGGATTAAAATTCCTGGAGTCCCTAAATGTACCTTTTAATGAAAACATCTTATCCTGATCAGTTAAATCATATTGATACATAAACTGATGATCAACCCCTACGATGAGATAAATGATTCTGATATACTTATTTTATAGAATTAAAAACTAACTCCTAACTAGTCAAACTCGGCGGTTTTTTAATTAAAATTATTTATACTATAAATATTATTTGTGCTTCATATTTTATTATTGACCCAAACGTAATATTTTCTTAGGTAAAATACTTTTATTTTTCTAATAGAATTATAATATTTCTGGTAAATTGATTTATTATAATATAGAATGATCTTTTTGTTTATAACTTTCTTTATTCGAATAATTGTAATTTATGTATCTATTTATATAGGTAATAATTTGAACTTTGTAATCATTGTTGATAGTTAATAGAATTAAAAAGAATAAGTTATTAAGGAATTTATAAATAAAGAAAATAAACTTCGATATTTATAAGAATTACGCGTGTTCCTTATGATGTAATTCTATTATATGATTGATAAATACTTTAAATTAAACCCAGTAAATTAGGTTAACAAAAAGCCTGTAATTACTTTATATATTACGTCATAGAATGAAATACTATTATAAAAATTCTTGTCAATTAGTTGTACTAAGTACAAGTTTTTATATTTAATAAATTATAATATACTCAATTCAGCTTTTTCAAAAGAAATTTTTTTTACTAAATTAATTTATACTTTGGTAAAATATGAGGTTTATAGGGTCCAATTATTGTAGTTTGTACTAAAATTTAAATAAAAAATTAATTTTTATTATATTAATAGCCTAAATCGTTTTTTTACAAAACGCATTTTTTTTTTTTGTAATATATAATATAAAGTATTAATTTTAATAGTTATAAACCTGGCATAGAAATGTAATATTATATTGTACATTAAACAAGATTTATTATTTAAAAATAATAACTTTAAAAATTAAAACATTTATTTGATCAATTATATCATTTTTAAATGAATTTTAGAACTATGCAAATATTACAAAATTATATTTTATAAATAAAATCGACTCATTTCATAGTAATAGAAATGGTAAAATAATTAATTAAAAAAAATATATAATTACCTTAAACATTTTTTCTCATTAAAAAAAAAAACAAAGCTCGACTTGGGCCCATTTTACAAAAAGTCATTCAATTTATAAATGTATTGTTGAAACAGATAAGGTCACTTTTAAATTATTAAAATATTCTTATTAGCAAATAGGTATGCAAAACATGAATGAACATTAGGGGTTTCCGATTCCGAAAACTTTTTTTTAACTATCTAATCTTTGACAGTTAGAAGATATGCTAAAATTTCAAATAAATTTTGGTTAAAACTTATTTTTAAACATTTATTACTCTATATCAGTAATAACGTAAAATATGGCTTTAATACGAATTTTTCAAGAATGTTCCATCCAAATACATAGACTAGTGTTATAATTATAATCAATTATATAATTCAGTGTTTGTAAAATTTCCTTTATTAAGTAATGCATTCCAATTCCCATTCCGCAGCTAAAAATAGTAATGTATTCCCATTCACAATTCCTCAAAAAAAAAGAATGTATTCACATTTACATTTTGAATGCATTCCATTTTTTTTTTATCATAATTGAGCCTCAGAAAGGGTTTTTGACAAAAATATATTATCACCTAGTTTTTTGAAGGTGTTAGTTACAATAAAAATAATTTTATAATTTAATAAACAAGTTTAATGCCAGTAAATATTTTATTAATAAATCATCAAATCAAAAAAATATAAATATATATATATATATAAAAGCATTTCAATCATATTATCGCTTATTCGCTAACGTTTAGCAACTTTTATAGATCCTGCTGTACTAAATAAACGTTTTACTGGAGCACTTGATGGCAGACCAACATTAAAACGCATAAAAGTTTTTAGTACATTAGGATAATCATGTAAGCAAGATAAACCACGATTAGGGACTCTAAAAAATCATTTAATTGATGGTCACGTTTTAATTTTTTGGCCTGTTTAAAGTTGTAGGCATACAAAAAATATCTTCCTCATCTTCTTTGCCATCAGAACAAGAGCTCTCAGATGATTCAGGATTTTGTTTCTAAAATTCTGCTTTTAGCCATCCTTCTGCCAAGAAAAAAATATCTGAATGATTCAACCAATTTAAATCTTAGAATCAAGAAAGCTGCGATTATTAATTCTTTGTCTTTCCAGACAGGGTCAAATCTAAAAAATATATTATTATCAAAACCTATGTTAATGAACTATATATTTATTTATTTAATAAGTGTGTATGTGTATTTTATAAATTACCTTTTTGTAACTGCAATACTGACCTAACAATGGATCACATATAGTATAATTTTTGGAAATAAATTTTTAAAATTTTTTATTGATTCAGTATAAAGTTGGAAGTAAATATCCTATGAACATATTTTTTTCACTTTGTAAAAAGTCAAGAGACTCAGCAATTGGTGTCATAATTTCAACATATTCATTAATAAATGTAATTTCATTTTGCTTTAGGCGTATTAAAGAACAAAAGTCGAATATATTAGCTAACTTTTCAATACCATGATTTTTAATAACATTTTTTAGCTATTCATCATAAAACCTATTCCAGTGAGTTTGGCTCGATTTCAAAAAACATCTATTTGTTCATGAATTTTTTCTGATACAATACGAGACTAAGATTTTCTTTGCTCCACAGTTTAGTAATTTTTGCAATAGTTTTATGATTAATTTTTTTACTATACAAATTGTATTTAACTGTATGTTTCATTTTTCAAAAATATAACTTCAAAATATCATTGTCAACTTAAAATTGAAAATATATTATTTATAAATACAGTAACATAACAAACATGACAGGTCTAAATTAATTTTTATTAATTAATAAATGTGTACAAATAAATTTGCAATATTTTAAAAAATAATTCAAATTTAATTCTATTATGAGTCTTAAATTTGGTTTGGTAATATTTTCCAAAGTGTAAAACAGAAGAATTTACTACCACATTTTTCATTAAAATTAAAAAATATGTATATAGACATTTAATAGTATTTTAAATTTTTGTTTAAAAATGTAGTTATTTTGTTAAAAGTTTTGCTTAAATTAGATTTAACTGAAATTAGCTCTACATCTTGGTATAATTTTTAAAATTTTAATAAAATTATTATTAGAAAAAATATATTTTCAGTAGCTTTTAATTTTAAAACATTGTATAGTTCAAGATATAATTTTTTTAATATTTCTACACTAATATATCAGTTAATGAATATGTTAATTTGGTTCATGTTTGCTATTAAACTCCATACACACCAAAAGATATAAAACTTATTTATTGTTCATATAAAATTTCATAAAAATACTTATTTCTTTAATTTTTATTAAGTTTTAAAAGTATATTTGCCTACAAATATTTTAAATTTGTTTTGAAAATATAAAATTATTTGGCTAGGTATATTTAAATGAAAAAAAAAAAGTTATCGGCGAGAAAGTTAATCAAATCATCATTACAAAATGCATGTAGTCAGTGATATTTGTTTTAATTTATTATTTAATAAAATATAAAACTTACCATTATCCGTGCCTATTATATCTGTCGATGTTGACTGAGTATCCATTAAAAAAATCAAACAAAATAAAGGAAAATTTCAAATTGCACGCGCCTCAAACGTTTCATACTCTAATTATTTTAAGGAAAAAACCATCAAATGATAACCGATTTTATGGGTTAGAGATAAGTAAAAAAAAAGTATTTTTGTGGTTACAATTGTTAACAGTTGAATTATCACATACCAATGTCATCAACTGTTCATCATTAAGTTGACTACATTTGTATTAGAATATTGTATAATGATGGCAAAATTTTAGAATTTTTTTTGATATATTTGGAGTGAGGAGTTTACATTCAAATTCTAAGAAAAATTGATTGTATTCCCATTCACCGTTCCATTTAAATAAAGTGAGTGCATATATGAATGCATTCTACGAAAAAGGAATGAAATTCAAAAACTGCATTCTTTCCTAATACTGATATAATTTATGAACAAATTAAACAGAAAAAATTTGTTTAGCCTTCAAATTTAAAATTTACTTTGGAAAAAATAAATTTATAGCATAGAGTTTATAATATAGAAATGTTTTATTTTATACTTCAAAATTAGATGAATTATTTTTATATAAAAAAAATAAACACTGATGTAAATTATAGCACCAAAAAGGTTTACTATTTATTCACTTAAAATCTGTACAACACACGATTTCTTACATTACAATACAACATGTTAGATTTAATTATACATTTTGCTAAAATATATACACAAATAAATGCATAACAAGAGATAAATTAATGATTTTAAAATTAATTATGTAATAATAATAACTAAAAGTATTAAAACATTTTCTCTTCGGAGAGGTATAAGATATAAAAATTATAAATCATTTATTCCATTTTAATTTTATTGAATTTGTATACATAAATTTTTTTTAAGGCAAATATCACAATATGAAGGGTAAAATTTTCTCATTAAACATCAAAATTAGAAAACCGAAATGTTTGATTCATCTCTTAGATGCATTGCATAATTGACGGTTATGCAAATGCGTTTAAAGTAACTAAAAAGTTCTTCCCTTTTTAAAATAATATAAAGTGAGTAATATTTTGAAATGATAATTTCTGAATAATCTATTACCAGTAAAATATATACATAAGTGTTGTTCGAAAGCATAACATAATAAAATAAGTATAATATATTATTGTGAACAAGAAGGGACATGAAGCATTTAGATAAGAGATCTATAGTTTTAACTAAATATTTGTTTCAGTCAACAATTTGTTATTTGTTACTTTTTATATTAATAAAATATATTTTTTATTTTTTAAATTAATATTTTTTAGATGTCTAATCTTCTAGTGTTTCTTTAAGTGCACAAAGTTGCTCCTCGCCTAACTGAATTTTATCTGATATCTCCCGAGCATCAATCAACAATTTAGCTTTCATTGCTATAAAGTGATCATAATCAGAAAATTCATCACTTGTCAGGTAACGGGACAAAATTGTAGAAACCATATCACCACGTCGGTCAATATTTTCTTTCAACTCCTTTGCTTCTTCTAATTGACAAGTTAATTTAGACTTTTTCTCTTCAAGCGTTTTCTATAATAACATTATTTCTATTAATGTTTAAATTTTTAAAAAAGAAAAAGTATTTGAAGGACTTGGTGTAGAAATTACTTAAGTCCATCTTTTTCAGAAAATAGTTTTGCTAATTTTGAATAAATATAACTCTTCTGCATAAATCATTATAAAAATGAGATCTATAATCCTATTATTTATGAATATATTTAAATTAGAATAAAAATTTTACCATTGCTTTTAATAAAAAAAGTTAATTTACAATTTTTTCTTCTGAAAAATTAGTAAAAAAAAAAAATGGAATTTCCTGGCTGCAGAATTAAGCCCTTCATTTTAGCAAATTAAAGACAGTTGGAACTTGAATAAGTTCATGGTATAAATTTTAAATATTTAAAATTTCACAGTTAAATAAAACAAAAGTGTTTATAGTATAGTAAAGATATTACCACTTAATATTTTATACTTATTCAATGCCTTAATTTACAAAATATTTGTTATAAGATATCTTACTTTTTCAGGATGTTCTAACTCTAATTCTAGTAAAGCATTTTCAACCTTAGCCAATCTCCCACTAAGACTAAGCAATAAACTGGTGATATGACCAACTTCCTGCACGTGGGTTTTAAACTTATTGGCTTCTGGAGTTTTTGCTAGGGCTTTTACACGATCAAAAACTGTTACACCTAATGCTTCATTAACTGTTGTCTCTTCAATAAGAGCAACTTGTTCTTCACGAAGCACTTTTAGTTTTCTATCTAACCGTGAAACTAAATCCGCCTAAAAAAATGTTTTATATAAAATTTGCATGCATTCTCAATTTAAATAATAAACTCAAATTACAAACCTTTTTCTTTTGTAAACTCCCCATGCCATTACATTCAGAAGATTGCTGTTTTTGTACATTGTAATTGTTCAACAGCTTAGCTTTTGGCTCAGATATTGTATAATAAGATGAGGTAGGCAATAAACTACCGTTTGAATCACTGTAAAAACAAATATAGTTATGAAATAGGAAAATTGATCATTAATTAATATATTATTATATATATGATAATATTGTTAATTATGTAAAAAACAACAAAATTAAAAATTGTAAAACAATACATTTAAATATTTTTATTAAGCTAAATTAAAAACACAATATAAAATATTAGAGATCAGACATTTTAAACAACGAAAAAAAGAAAGATGTAGAACAGATAATATCATTTTGTCAAAAATTCATTGAAAAATTAAAAATTTTTAACACAATAACTAACAATAGAAATTTATAGTTATATACAATGCTGAAATAATGTCACATTTATGTGTTATTGCTCATATATTATATTATGAGAAAATAATCACAAATTATTTTAAAGTTCTTTTACAATTCATGTCAAACAAAATAAAATAGAAAACAATTATTGTATATTCATTAATAAAAAATTTTAAATTTAATTAAATTAATACAAAAATTGAAGCTCTATAAACTTTACCCACAATTAATTCAAACCAACTATTATTCGTCTTACTATTATAGCTTCTACACCTAAACAGATATAGAACAGATAAAAACCGATCTAAAATAAGTATTTACTAAAACTCTACTAAATTAGTTTAGGAACATAGCTAGTTTTATGATATTGGAATATTGATTATCTTAATATATTTCAATGCATTTTAAATATTTTAAAAGTTATATTGTATCAATTTAAATTAATACTCTAAATAAAGTAGAAGAAAAGTATTAAATTAAATTATTGTACATACCAAACACTGTTATTGCTATTGCAGTCAGGTTTTTCAGCTATAGAAGCTCTGGATCGAGGCACTAAGTCCATACGGAATAAAAGAGAAACATAGTCAGTGGATCTTTTGACATCAGGTCCAGGAGCTAAGACATTAATAGATAATGATCATTATTTATAAGGATTTTCAAATAAAAGAGAATTTATTTTTACTCTCATGAAATCCTAACGTAGGATTTGCAAGGAATTAATATAAAAATAACTGTTTTAATGTACTAAGAAAATGTGACTTTCAATTCTCACCTAATATGTTATGTAATTTATCTGATGGTGATAGATGACTAATAAGGTCTCGGGATAGTTCTTCACATTCAATTTCTTCTGGCAATTTCTTACGGACCAGTACCGGTGTACCAATTTCCGATGATGACGACTTAAGATCGGTTTGGGAAGCAGCATCTGACATGGTCGTAGTGGATGAACAACTACGAGACACTGGTCGGTGGTGTCGTCGTTGCTGCGACCTTAAAGGCTCGTCATACCACGTACACTCAGATCGCGATTCGTCCAGGTCGCATTGAGTCTCTACGCAATTGTTAGTTCTACATGCGGTGCTAAAGTCTCCAGAAGATAATCGGGTAGGCGAATGTGAAGGTGATGGAGCATTGAGACTGAGACTGCTATAGCCACTCTCTGTGGAACCCACTTGGGATAAATCGGACTGTGACCTCTTTTGTAAGCTCAATGTAGACTCAGAATGCGGTATAGGGAACGCACTCACCGATACATCTTTACCAGGCATGTTGGATGGATCTGATTGAGTTCGAGGTGTCCTGGATGATCTTTTAAAATCGTTAGTTGGGTTGTTACGAGGCAATGTTTTCGACATTTGATGTTGTGGCTGTTGCTGTTGTTGATGGTCAATTACAACAGGTCTTTCAGTTAAAACAATTGGAACTGCCGGCGTTTCGCCAGCCGGATTCACTGGAGATTGACTAGTATCCACTATTGGTAATGCTGTCGACAGACGGATGACACCGGGCATCGTATTTTTATCTGACTTTTTAAAATCTGTATCCACAGGTGCCACATTTTCTACGTCTGTAAAGAAAATTGGTCAAGTGAATATTAGTTGACGACACTTGGGTTCCGTTTTGATATAAATTTATTACATAAATGAAAAAAGTTTGAATCTTTCAGTACATACGGTTACACAAATTCAATAAATTCAAACTTTTAATTTTCTTAAAATCTTATTTAATTAATAATTTCACATAAAAATTGTTTATTGTTATTAACACTTATTTAGATAAACAAGAGATAAAATGCTTACTATGAGTTTCCACTACTTTTATGATCGTGTCTCCGCGGCCTCCATTAGGAGATGCTGTTCGTTTGTAACTTCCTTCGAAATTAGGTAATCCTTTTTCTCGTTCTCTTGGTTCTCTCTTATAAGCCGACAAGTATGAAGCTTTCGATTGACTCCTGTAGGCAATAAGTTACAATGTAGTTATTTCACAGTTTCAATTAATTACAATTCATATTAACTTAACTATATTAAAATATATTAGAATAATAAAAGGTAGACATTGTTTTGGTCACGCTTGGATCACACAAGTAGCAGTTGCGACTGCGGGCGATGCATGAAAAGAGAAGGGAGATATTTCAATAACTAAAAACAATTTAATGTTAATTTGAAATGAAAATACGGGCATAGGTTACATATATTTATAAGTTGTACACATTTATGTGCATGTGTATCGATAGCGTAACCATAAATTTATTGGTAATAGTAGAATTGCCTTATGTAGACAGCAGGTGAACCTTAATATTTATTTTAATTTTAATTACAACTGTTACACTAGAAAGAAAACAACCGCATAGAAGTACTTAGGGGGTTTAACCATAAAAAAAATTTACACTAGAAGTCGAGTCTTAGAAACTCTAATATTCATTTGATAATAAACATGTTTTAATTGATATGTAATCTATGACAGTACGACTCTAAAAATGCTATCCAATAATTATTAGTGTGATGTACTGATACTGTAGTAAACGTGATGATAAACCGTATAATGTGCGATTCCCCTAGACAATTTTTTAAATAAACACAAAGGAAAGAAAATGAAATTTACATAAATAACACGGGCATTGTTAAACAGCAACCATCAGTTTCGCCAATCGGTTTAACCTATTTTCGCTTACTCCATTTGCATTAAATTTACTATTGAGAGAATCGCTAATGACACTGTTACTCAGAAATAGACTGATGATAATAGTACGACAGATAGTAAAACTTTCTTATGGAAATGTAAAAGCATTTATCGGCTTGAATACGTCCGGTGAAATAGTTATTACAGTTCTCACAATGTAATAAGTACGATTTACTTATTACAAATTCATTAGTTTACTTAGTGAACATTTATTTTATTTTATCCAAGTGTGCAACAACAAACGGTAAGTGCTTATAATTAACAAGATTCGCTGAACTATAAAGTGGCCGCTTGAGGAAAACTCAAGGTCAATTACCTCTCTTAGTACACTGAGTAATTATTAATACTCGATTTCGGGAAGAGCAAACACATAATTCACTAATACAGTTTAATTATCGTAGAAAGATAGTTTAAGGCAATTAAAGTTACGGTAATAATCATACATAATTTTTTACACGTAGAGCAACACTGTAATGTCTAGTGTGCAACGGTACTTATTCGAAAACGGCAAAATTATTACACATAGTTAAAATAAACGGTAAACGGTTCATACGGGTAAGAGAAAAGATAGTGAAAGACCGATAATTCATTTTAACATTGGAATAATGTCTATATGTGGGCTATTAACTTGACCTAATACATTACGTTGCTTCAGCGGGTTAAAAAAACATTATGCATGTTCATTTTACGTGATACATGAACGAGTAAAAAAAAATAATAAAACAATTTATACAATTTAACAAACAATATTTTGAAACATTTGATTTGCGGTATTCGAGGAGAAAGAGATTCACGTCGAAAACGTGTGCTGAACTTGATTGGATTTCATAAACGTTTTGTGAAGAAAAAATCAATATCAGTTACACATATTATTCAAAAGAAATCATTAGCACCGATAGGTCAAATTATTGCACTATTTTTTCTTATATGGACGAGAATTGAATGAGCTGCTCGAAGCAATCGACCAAAGATATCGTGACGCGTTTAACCTCAAAAACAATGCTTCACAAATTGTTACAGATTTCGCAATTAACAAATCGGAGATACCAATGTTGACACCTGTCCGGGGGCCTTTTTATGCATAGTCTGAACAATGGTAACAATATTTAAAAAAATTAAAAGTTACATTGATTTTATTGTCGACATTATTGGCGAATAAAGAAAATCAAATATAAAAATAAAACAGATTTGCATATCAATCATCGATTACATGAATACGCTCACACTTGAAACTGTGAAAGCACAAGCACAATCTTTCTTGGCGCCTTGTTTGCATCGCGTAATTAAAATCGGCAGTGTAATTAAATCCTCTCCCAACACACTACTACGTAAATCAGACGCGTGCATAATGCATAAACATATCGGGTATGGATTTTAAAAAAATACAGTGTTCCGTTACTATTACAACTACTGCATCGGCAGCATAATGTCGTTTTCACGGCCCCCGGCCCCTACGAGTGTGTCGGGTGAAGATTAATCAAATATAAACACACATACGAACGGCGTTTATGTAGAAAGCAAAAGTTTTTCTACCGGTTTGATGTTTAGGCATTTCGTCGTTGTGCTGTTCACGGCCGAAACACACGAGAGAGTCGCCGCACACACGATTATTATTATATTACCGAACAACGGCAATGTCACCACAATATAATTATCTGATGTTTTCCGCGGACAGCAAAATACACCTATCATTATTGTCTCGATCTGTACGTTCTTCTTCTTTTTTCGGCGATTCTCAGAAAAATGTCATCCGACTAGTTTTGTTTTCAGAGCGTTTTGACCATATTAATTTTTCGCCAGATTACATAAAACCGACAGGTTAGTTCTCGATTTCTATTTTTGTCATCTTTATATTGTTATTTTCGCCGACGACACAATCGTATTCTCGTTACATCGAACTTAAAAAATTATGCGCTCCGACGACAGAGAGAGTATTGGGTTGTATTGCGCCGTCCTCGGAAGTTGTACCGGTGCCGCGAGTACGATTAATATCGAGAGTCTGCCGTCTTACGCTCGGAATACGACACCCTAGGCCCATAATTAACGTGAAAGTAAACGGTTATACTATTTGGTATTCTAAAACAATTATAATATTTTCTTCCCCTCGTCTAAAAATAATCGGCTCGTACGAATATAGTACCAGAGAACAAATATTAAAAAACACACGCTCACAAATGCATGTAAACATCGCGTAAATACTTACACTCACAGCCATATACACACCGTTCATAAAAAAAAAATTAACGTCGCCCATATGTGGGAGAGGAGGACCTTATGTGGTTTTTATCGTTGTGAAGCTGTTTACACGGCCCGTAAAGAATGCAAACGTACACACACACATGAGTTTTTAAACGTTACAATGTACACGACGCAAGTATCATTGTGTGCAGTACAAACTGACACGAGCATATACCAAGTGAACATAATACAATTTTTGTGTTTTTACTCGGCTCGAACCGCTGAATATACGCCCAAAGCGCTTTGGGTGTTCTGTGTGTGGCGCAACATCACAACAGCAACACAAAAAAATACCAATATCGAAAACGGTCACTATCTACACACACACACACACACACTATGAAATAATAGTTTATATTTACGTACAGGCATTTGTAAAATTCCAAGTTGAACTTCCTCATTCTAGATGAAAAGACGTTCAGGTATCTGTGGACCGTGGTCTTATGATACATAATATTTATATTATTGTGATCGTCTTGCGATACAACTAATACGTTATTGCGTATTTCCAAATGTTTTTTATTACCGCAGAACAGACACACGGCAATGTATTTTCGCGACTACCGTCAAGCCTCACAGCTGTTCGTTCGCCTGTAAACTAGTACCGTACCGCGACCACCGCCTTGCTGAACGAACACTTTGCCGTTTCTCGTTTATGGTAATATCGTTCTCCGCGTACGGTTTCCCTCAGAGGTCGGGAGCACACACCGGCTTCGGGTCATAACCAGGCGCAAGAGTGTACACATTTTTAAGGTTTCCGGCGTACGAGGAGACACCGATAGAGTCATAATAAAAAGTGTGTAAACAGAGCACATTATAATAAGTAGGAACCGTGTTTTCGTGTTAAAAGGTAATCGCATTAAAGTGGCAATTTTTTAGCGGGAGGGCTCGTGTTACGCGGTACTACGTCAAGTTGAAAGGGTTCAAGGGCCGAGAGAACGGGGCGTGATATCGAGAGGAAACATAATAGAGGCAACGCGCGCGTGAGAGTACAAAATTATAAAGTAAATGGAAAAAAACGTCCGACCGCATGCACAAAACTAATAGACAGATAGTCCTTGGACACAATGATACATCCTGTTCGGAATTCCATTATTTTCCGACCGTTTCCTATTAACGCCACCGCTGTTAATTGTCCGTCTTATAGATACCACGAATCTCCGCGGCCTGCCTCTTCTCCCCCAACTGTCACGGTAACAAACAATTGAGCCGAAGACGTTTGTTCTACGGCGTTGATGGATCGGTAACGATATTTCATAAACTCTGGCCAAAAACGATGACGGCGATCGTGACACAACCTTCTCCCATACCGTAGTACGAAGATGATGAGCGAGTGTGTATTGGGATTTTTTTTAGTTCAAAGACCCCCCGACTAATGTATTTTTCTACGCAGGATTGTGACGTTGAATGTGCGTGTGTATATATACACAATATTGTTACCAAAGTATTTGAACGTAATAATAATGCGGCTGCCGTACAAGAATCGAAATATAAGTAATAATCGCACAGTAATGGGAACGGTATAAATAATGCGATGGACGCGAGCCAAGTGACATTTCCTATATAGGAACAACAGTCGTGGAATTCGGTTAATGGTCTAAAAAACCGTGAGTTCCACCGGTCTGTACAACAATTGTTGACGACGGTTTTTGAATAATGACCAAAATACTTGCATGTGAATAGACCAGAACCAACGGTAAACAAATAATTAGGCAAAAATGTTAGCGGCGGATGAATGGAAATTGTTGTAGATCACGTTGAACAGAGAATACGAAATACGATTATTTATTATATTTTTTTTTTACAAATAGCCAATATTCCTACATGTCCACCCGACATCTGCCAAGTGTATAAATTATTACACTATTGTAATAACGTTTACCACGTGAGTAATAATTCATAAGAGAATATTAATTCGTTTTTATCATTGAGTAATACATTTTTCGGAACTTTCTGATGTTTACGAATGCTTCAGATTTTTTTTAAACAAAGTTGTAGTTTTATTTGTTATCAGGTCTCTGATTAAACGTGTTA